TCCGAAATGCAGCGAATGAGCTCTCACATGGGTGTATCTATCATAAACGAGAACGATTGTATATGCGTGGATGAGCTCCGATTTGGCGACAACGACACACTATCTGCATTAGTTGCAGTGAGTTGCAATGCGGATAAGCTGTTCCTCCTCACTGACGTCGATTGCCTGTACGATAAGAATCCACACGAGTCCCCGATGCCAAACCCATAAGGGAGCTGACTAGTGTTGATCTCGCTAAGTTGGATGTTGAAGTTGCGGGAGACAGTCAATGGGGTAATATACTACGAGCACGCCGAGCCTTCTCTGCTACGATCCTTATGCGTAATACAACATCTGTTGAATAGGCACCGGTGGTATGGCTACCAAGTTAGTGGCGGCTAGGACTGCTGTTGCTGCTGGAATCGAGTGTATTCTCACGCATGGTGCCAAACCCAATAAGGTAGTATGGACATTCTCCCCGGCATTCGAAGCTGTAGTTAGTCGAATCAATTGGGAGATTTGAAGGTACTGGAATATCTCCGAGACGGATCCGAGAAGGAGCTGATGACAGTCTTCAGAGTGGCTTCCGATAATATTCAGTTCGCAGTATCGAAGATGACCTGGAGGCGACGCTGGATGCTGGGCCTTGAGACAAGAGGAGTAATCAAACTGGATAAGGGGGCAGCCGATGCTATAAGGAAAAAGAAGAGCCTTTTCGCGGCGGGTAGGAACGAGGTGACTCCTGGAAGAGGTGTCACCGGCCGTTCTACTGTAGGTATCATACAGGTCACGGGGAGCTTCCATCGTGATGACTGCGTGTCGCTTGTGGACGGCGAAACCGGCGAGGAAATAGCCCGCGCCCTCGTGAATCTTCGGGACTTCGAAGTGAAGAAAATCATGGGCCATAGATCTTCTGAGTGAGTTCATAGTTCGTATTCGCAATGATTGTTCCATCTGGCTTGCTGTAGATATGCGGAATTGTTGGGCTGTGTTGTAGCACCGGAAGTTGCGTATCGTGAGAACATAATACTCACTACAGGGGCCCTTGCGGTTTTCGAAAGCGAGCCGGAGGACTCGGATCAACCCTCGGTCTAATGCTGAAGAGTGCCCTGTGGAAAAGTCCAGAGAATACCATACAAGGCGCGTCCTCAGCTGCCGAAGTGTCAAGTTGATCCCTCATTGTTGGATACATTCTGTCCATCTCTAACTGGTGATTTCGCAAGGTCGCGTTAGCAGTCGTGAATGTGGGGAGACACCTGAAGCTGAGAATGCGCCTTCACATCGGAAGGGGGGTCGCTGTTGCAAAGCATGGTCTAGAAACGTCGGTTTCGTTTGCGTGAATCATCTACGAAAACGACGATGATCTTTCGCTGTCTGACCTCGTCCCTCGTTAGCCTTTCGACAACAAGGTGAGTCACCTTAGGTGACTGGCTTTCACTCATTCCGTGGCTCGAATGCATCTGCCGCTCATGATCTGCCCTCGGCGGCGACCACTGCTTTTCTGCACTTACTCGCTCTCAGTACTCTCAGCATGTCCAAAGACGCTCCGGACGTACAAAAGGGCGAGATCTCATCTCTGACGCGAGATGTCGTGGACAGCATATGCGCAGCTCAGGTCGTGACCAGTTTGAGCCAATGCGTCAAAGAGCTTCTGGAGAATTCGTTGGATGCAGTATGTAGTCCAGGGGGGTATGGATGGTGCTCACCTTACATTCGCTCAACTATGCAGTACTGTTCGAATTTCGCGGAATTGCGTCCGATCAGAAACCAGGCGTATGCGTGAGCTGATCAGACTGAAATTCGGTGCTGCTCTTACGATCCTCGATTGATGAAAATGGTAGTTCGTGACGGTTCTACTCCTCTTCAGGGCGCTAGAAATATTACTGTCACCCTCGTTAACAACGGCGTTGACATGATAGCGGTATCGGATGATGGTTGTGGTGTATCGGAGGAGAATTGGTCTACGCTTTGCAGTTGGCACGCTACAAGCAAAGTCGACATTGTGGAGAGCCGGACAGATGAGCTCCGATTGGGTCACAGCGATTTTGGTTTCCGAGGGGAGGCTCTAGCAGCGATGTGTGGTCTGAGCAATGGGGGAGTCACCGTCCTCACACGCACGGAAGACTCGAAAGCTGAGACTGGCAAGGTGCTCGTGTATGATAAAACCGGTCGTCTTTCGAGCAGTGATGGGGAGGCCGCACGGGGCGTTGGTACTACTGTCACCATACGGGGGCTGTTCAGAGGTCTCCCAGTAAGGCTCAGGGAGTTCGAGAGGAATGCCAAGAAGCAAGTCACGGCGACCGTAGGGCTCATGCAGGCGTATGCTGTTATACGGCACGATGTAGCTTTCCGATTGACATGTGATGGTCGTTCACTACTGGCTACTAATCCTGAAGATGACATGGAAACAGCAATACGGAAGGTTTGTTGTATATCAGCAGCAGAGCTCGCGAGTATGACTCGACTCGTGTTGGAGGATGAG